GCGGCCCCAAGACCGCTCCAAGACGGCTCCAGATGGCCACGGAGCCTCCCAAGCCTCCCTCGCTGTTTGACTATGCGTGTCTCTTCTTCTCCCCCCGACAACTCTCATGGGCATCGCTTCTGGATGGGATGGTGTGGAGGCCGCAAACGAAGGCGCAGGCGGCGTCCGAAGTCAGCCCGGGCTACGAGCGAAACCCAATTACATAGCGCGCGCACGAACGGCTGCCGGAGCTGCCGCCGAGGGACGCCGGGCTGCGCCGCGGGTGAAGGCAGGGCTGTAAGAGCTGCCAGGTGCGCCAAGCGGATGAAGCGCAACCGCCCCAGGGGCAAGACCACCAGGGGAATAAACGAATTGTACCCTGTCGCGCCAGGCGCCAGAGGTAAACGAGCCACCGAGCAGAGCACGGCATAGCGCGGGGCTGAGCAAGCAGCCCAGAGTACCTGTGTCGCATGCGAGGGATGGTGCGGATACTTTTTTGATTGGCGGCTCACAAGGACAGATCCAAGAAGCGGGACGGACTCGACTGGGGCACAAGGCGAGATAATTAGCTGCAGAAGCGCATAGGCCGCTGAAGCGGGTGCACGTGCCAGGGACAGCATGACCCTCATTAAGACGCTGGCGGCCCGAAACCGGGGAACGCAAGCACAGAACTGGAAACGGACGGATGGCGCAGTCGCACACGTGGCGCCAAGCTCTGACCGTACCGAACAGCGCGAAAACGCGAGGAGCACGCCGCGCTGTGGCGGCACGGAGTGGCCGGGGTGGCCGCACCGTCCATGAAACGAAGAGGAGGCCGAGGAACAGGACAGACACGGCGGGCACAAAGGCACGCGGCGGCAGGAGAAGGGGGGCACATATGGAAGCCTCACTCACAGTGACTCATAGGACGCTCTTGGGCATGAGAGCGATGGTGGGGATACGCGAAGCGTCAAGATTTGTCAGGGGTCCGCGCGGAATTGTTGGATCCGCTGTGGAACCCCTCCCTCCTTGCGCGGAGCGCGCCATGGGTGGGGCTGGAGGCGCCCCCCAGAGGGGGTACCAGCACCGATCCAAGAAATCATCGCATCGCGGAACTCCGATGTTGATGTTTATGCAGTGGCTTCCTTTGCGGCTCTCGATGCCTTCGAGCGCGTTTCTTTATGTTCAGCGATTGCCGTCGTCATGGGGGGGGGGCGAACGGGGGGTATGACGTAACGCCCCCCCCCGCCGTGCGGCTCCGGCATCGCAGCCGTGCCCGCGCGCGCGACGTGACGAGCGACAAGCGGCGAGCGACGACGACGACGACGACGACGCGACGCGACCCACTGCGTCACGGTACCACCACAACGTTCGCGTGCACCACAACGCGCTAGATGATTGCCGTCATCGGCCCGGAATAAAAAACAGGCTTCAGCCGCGTCCGCGCGCACGACGACTATTAGCGACGAGCGACAAGCCACGAGCAACGACGACGACGACGACGACGACGACGACGACGACGACGACGACGACGACGACGACGACGACGACTGCGGACCAGACTCCTATGCGGACTCCTACGCGGACGCCTACGCGGACCCCAGTGCGCACGGCGGCAATGCCCAGAGCGCACTGGGGGGGGTTACGTCATGGGGGTGGGGGCGGGGGCCATGACGCCCGTTATGCCCCAAACAATAAAGAAACGGGCTCTTCCCTGCGGCCGGGCCGTTTTCCCATCGCGAGCCATCCCTTGAGGGGCCCGGGGTCCAGAAGCGGACCCTGGGACGCCGAACGCAGCGAAAAAACTTCGGGCGCGACCTCGCCCGAGTCGCCGCCAGAGGTCTTGGCCAGCCCAGGGGGCCGCCACTTTCTCCTCGGCGCGCAGTCGGCGGGGCCGACGGCGTCAGAGAACTGGTGGCGAGCAGGGCCAAAGAGCGGCCCATGAGCGCCCACAGAGGCGATTTTGGCTCTAGGAGGGAGACAGGAATCGGGGACCCCCCCTCCCTCGATCGATGCCCTACAACATGGCCCCAAGAGAGCCCCCAAAAAGCACCAAAGAGGGCCGCAAGACGGCCCCAAAATGGCCCCAAGAGAGCCCAAAAGCGCCCCAAGAGCGTCCCACGAGGGCCCCAAGAGACGGTTTGCCTCCTCCTCCTCCTCCTCCTCCTCCTCCTCCTCCTCCTCCTCCTCCTCCTCTTCCTGTATCCTCCTGTTCCTCCTGCACCTCCTCCTCCCCATCCTCCTCCTCCGCCTGCTCCTCCTCCTCCTCCTCCTTCCCCTCCCCCCCCCCTTGCCGCCCCCCCGCGGGCGGGCCCCTGGGATGGCCCGAAGAGGCTCTCCAACGCCACCCTTTTGCTCCCAAGGATCTCTCTGTTCATCCTGGTTGCCCGCTCTGTTTCACTGTATGTGTCTCGTCGTCCCCTTTCCCGTCCCGTCAACGTTCCTGGGAAGCGTTTCTGAACGGGCTGGTGGATATATGTTATAACCGGAAGAAGCAATTAAGAAACCCCCCGGCGTTATCATTAGCACCGCGACGTAATTAAATAATTATTTTTTTGGGGGGGGGTTCGCCGAGCGATATTATTAGCACCGCGCAAATGGAAGGAAAATAAATAATTCCAGCGCCCCGCCTCGGGTGGCATCCCAATTAGAATTGAAATGAGAATAAGAATACGAATACGAATAAGGAAAAGCTAAGAAAAGCTAGGGAAAAGCTGAGAAAAGCTAAGGAAAGCAAAGAAAAGCTGAGGGAAGCTAAGGAAAAACTAAGAAAAGCTAAGAAAAAGCTTAGAAAGCTCAGGAGAAGAGCAAGAAAAGCTGAGAAAAGCGAAGAAAAGCTAAGGAAAATATAAAGAAAAGCTAAAGAAAACTAATGAAAAGCTAAGGAAAACTATGGAAAAGCTGAGGAGAAGCTAAGGGAAACTAAGGAAAACTTAAGAAAAGCTAAGGAAAACTGAAGAAAAGCTAAGAAAAAGCGAAGGAAAAGCTAGCGAAAAGCCAAGGAAAAGCTAAGGAAAAGCTAAGGAAAACTAAAGAAAACAAGGGAAAAGCTAAGGAAAACTAAAGAAAAGTTTAGGAAAAGCTAAGGACAACTAAGGAAAAGCTAAGGGAAACTAAGGAAAAGCTGAGGAACAGCTGAGAAAAGCTCAGGAAAACTATGGAAAAGCTGCGGAAAACTAATGAAAAACTAAGGAAAAGCTAAAGAAAAGTAAAGATAAACTATGGAAAAGCTCAAGAAAACTAAGGAAAACTTAAGAAAAGCTAAGGAAAAGTAATGAAAAGTTGAGGAAACCTAAGGAAATGCTGAAGAAAACTAAGGAAAACTAAAGGAAAGCTAAGGAAAACTGAAGAAGCTCAGGAAAACTATAGAAAAGCTTAAGAAAACTAAGGAAAAGCTCAAGGACACTAAGGAAAAGCTAAGGGAAACTAAGGAAAACTCAAGAAAAGCTAAAGAAAACTAAAGAAAAGCTGAGGAAAACTAAAGAGAAACAATAATTAGCCCCCCCCCCCTCGTTGCGTCCACGCAGAAATTGCGCCCCAGCCCCTCCCCCCAGTCGCCCGCCCGAGCGCGGTGGCGGAATCGCGCGGCAGCGCCACTGAATGCGATGCACCGAAAGAGAGCAAGGCGATGTGTTTCTGAGCGACGCCTGCGCACGGCGCCTGATCTCTTAAAGCGTCAGCGAGCGCTGAAAGCCCTGGCGTCGACGTGACGCCCCGGCGCTGAAAGCCCTGGCGCTGAAGAGGGCGGTCTCGATCAAAAACGCGAGCACTGAAAGCCCCCTGAAAAAATTGGAGCCGCGCTGAGAAGGGGGCGGTCTGAAGGCGCTGAGGCGCTGAATCTCTGAACTGCGGCCTGAAGATTGCTGAGAGAAACTCAGCACAACATCTGCCTGACAGGCTAAGCTCGCCCTCCCCTCCCTGCCGCCCCCTCCCCCAGAGAAAAATAAAGAAAAACTCAGGAATGGCAAGGAAAAGCTGAGAAAAGCTAAGGAAAAGCTAAGGAACAGCTAAGAAAAGCTCAGGAAAAGCTGAGACAAGCAAAGGAAAAGCTGCGAAAAAGCTAAGGAAAAGCTAAGGAAACGCTAAGGAAAAGCAGAGAAAAGCTAAGGAAAAGCTGAAAAAGAGCAAAGGAAAAGCTGAGAAAAGCTGAAGAAAACCTGAAAAAAAGCTAAGGAAAAGCTCAGAAAAGCTAAGGAACAGCTAAGAAAAGCTAAGGAAAAGCTGAGAAAAGCTAAGGAAAAGCTGAGAAAAGCTGAGGACAGCTAAGGAAAAGCTGAGAAAGGCTGGGGAAAAGCTATGGAAAAGCTAAGAAAAGCTCAGGAAAAGTTGAGAAAAGCTGAGGAAAAGCTAAGGAAAAGCAAAGAAAAGGCTAAGAAAAAGCAAGGAAGAGCTGAATAAAGCTAAGGAAAAGCTAAGAAAAAGCTAAGGAAAAGCTAACGAAAAGCTAAGGAAAAGCTAAGAAAAGCTGAGGAAAAGCTGAGAAAACAAAGGAAAAACTGAGAAAAGCTAAGGAAAAGCTGAGAAAAGCTAAGGAAAAGCTGAGAAAAGCTGAGGACAGCTAAGGAAAAGCTGAGAAAAAGCTAAGGAAAAGCTGAGAAAAGCTGAGAAAACATGCGGAAAAGCTGAGAAAAGCTAAGACAAACAATGGAGACCTAAAGAAAACCAAGGGAAGGCACCCCCCTTCCCTCTGACGGCGCCAGACGCGGCCTCTTAGGAACGCTCACCTGCACATGCCCCTGAGCACGCTCATCGTGCTCATCCTCCACCACGCAGGTGGCCTGCCGTGCCTGATGCAGTACCTCAGGGCGCGGGGGTAGCTGCGCGCGACGCAGCCTGAGGTCAGGAGGGGGACGAGGAGGAAGAGCAGGAGGAGGACGAGGAGGAGGACGAGGAGCACCAGCCTGAAGTCCATTCGCACTTGGCACACACCTGCACGGTCTGAATCATCTTCATGTGGCTGACGTATGCACAACACTCGTCACTGTTCACGTTCGTAAACTGAGCCTGATGGAAAGCTGCCTCAAGGACTGGCTCGGAAAGGCCTCTCAACCATGCCTCAAAGCCCTTCTCGCCCTTCTGCTTCTGACCTAGCGCTGCGAGAGCCTCCTGCGCCTGCTTCTCAGCCTCCTCCTTCTGCGCCTTCTTCTGTGCCTCCACCTTCTCCTCCTCTGCGCCCTTATTCGGTTCTGCGGGCTCCTTCTGCGCCTCAACCTGCGGCTCCTTATGCGCCTGCACCTTCTCCTCCTCTGCGCCCTTCTTCGGTGCTGCGGCCTCCTTCTGAGCCTCATCACCCTGCTTCAGCGCCTCCTTTTCCCTTATCCGCGGCCTTCTTCTGAGCCTTCTCCTCGGCGGCCTCAGCCTCTGCCTCCAGGATTTTCTTCACCGTGGCCTTAACTTGGTCCTTCAATACCTGAGTCGCCTCCTGCTGCAACCTCCTCCTCACTTCCTTCGGGTCCTCAGGGATGGCATCTGGTAGCGTCTTGCACCAGTTGCTGACCAAGGCTGCTTCTTTAGCTCTTCTCCTCAGCTCCTCTGCCTCCCTCTGCTCGGTTTGCTTCCGATCTGCTTTGGCCTGAAGGTGCTGCTGCGCAGCCTTGACCTTCGCCTCCTCAAAAAGCGCTTCCTGAAGCCAGGCTAGCCGCGCCTTCTCCAGCTGCTTCGCGGCGCTCACGCACTTATTGATGACAGCCTTCTTCCTGTCCTTAGGCGTCGTGACTGGAGCTCCCCCCTCACCTGCCAGTCTCCTGACCTCCACCTCGATGTAATGCATGACCCAATAGCCGCAGTCGGTACCTGATTGCCTGAAGATCTGGTGCCTGGTGAGCGCAGTTACTAGCATCTGCTGGCTGAGGTCTGGCACGACTGCCTTCAAGATCTGATCAGCTCTGTCCAGACACACCTCATTGATCTCGTTCATTGTCTCGTAATACCTGATGCGCGGCTCTGCTAGACTGATGCCCTCGTTCCTCGTCTCAACGACAAGGAGGGTCCAGTGTCCCACCTTGTGCTTCCCAGCGCCCTCAGGACACTGAAGAGGGAAGAATACCTTATCGTATCGATTGAGAACTCTCCTCATTGCCTCTTCCATGGCTTTCTGACACACCTCGTCCTGATCCCTGAGTGCCGAGAAATACACGCACATGCTATCAGGTGACCAGGTGAAGAAGTTGGCCTGAGGGAAGGTGTGCTCCAGGAGAACTGACCATAACTGAATGGTCCCTCCTTCCAAGAGTGCGGCATCCTTCTTTACTTCCACTGGGGGTGCTGAGTCCGCGCTCACCATGCCGAGTCTGCCAAGCATCTGATATTTCATATTCTTGCTCACGTGCTCGAACGTGAGAAGTGCTTTCGGCGTAGGCAACGTCTCATTCACCTCAATGACCGCGCTGATTGGGACGCGCCTGTTATTCATCTGATCGTCCAAGATGCTGATCTCCTGGTCCTCTTTGTGAGCGTACATGCAGTGGCCCACTTTCCCGAAGAGAGCCTCACCGCCGGCGTACTCACGATCAACCCTGAACACTTTCTTCAGGTACTGATCCTCATGGAATCGAGGTACCCCGAACAAAGCAGCGACCCTGGCAGACTACCCCTAAGGCCTGAATATGGAGGAAGTCCAAGGCGGGAGCCTTGTCTGTGAGCGCGTCCTCCTCCGTGTCCTCCTCCTCCTCTTCCTATTCCTCCTCCCCCTCCTCATCCTTCTCTTCCTCCAGCCCCGATTTTTCCAATGAGATTTCTATTGCAACCCCTATGGGCAAATTATTTTTTTTGGCCGTCGTAGGAGGTGGTCCATCCCAGGATATCGCCCCGCCCCGCACCGAGGCGTTATCTTAGCACCCGGCAGGACCAAAATAAACCCCCGAGCCCGAGCCAGAAAGCTGAGGGAAAGCTAAGGAAAAGCTAAGGAAAAGCTAAAGAAAAGCTGAGAATAGCTAAGGAACAGCTAAGGAAAAGCTGAAAAAAGCTAAGGAAAAGCAAAGAAAAGCTAAGGAAAAGCTGAGGAAAAGCTGAGGAAAAAGCAACAGAAAAGCTGAGAAAAGCTGGGGGGTAGCAACGAAAAGCTAAGGAAAAGCTAAGGAAAAGCTGTGGAAAAGCTAAAGAAAAGCTGAGAATAGCTAAGGAACAGCTAAGGACAAGTTGAGAAAAGCTAAGGGGAAGCTGAGAAAAGCTTAGGAAAAACTGAGGAAAAGCTGAGGGAAAGCTAAAGAAAAGCTGAGAAAAGCTAAGGAAAAGCTCAGGAAAAAAGCTAAGGAAAAGCTGAGAAAAGCTGAGAAAAGCTAAGGAAAAGCTGAGAAAGGCTTGGGGGAAGCTGAGACAAGCTCAGGTAAAGCTGAGAAGAGCTAAGAATAGCTAAGGAAAAGCTAAGGAAAAGCTATGGAAAAGCTATGAAAAGCTGAGAAAAGCTCAGGAAAAGCTGAGAAAAGCTATGGAAAAGCTGAGAAAGGCTGAGGAAAAGCTGAGAAAAGCTAAGGAAAAGCTTAGAACAGCTAAGGACAAGCTACGGAAAAGCTAAGGACAAGCTACGGAAAAGCTAAGAAAAGCTGGGAAAAGCTCAGGAAAAGCTGAGAACCCTGTTGAGAAAGCTCAAACTAATGACAAAAGAATACGAAACCTGGAGGGCGCCACTACTTCTTTCTGAGTACCTCGACTCCTGCCAGGCCTGCTCCAAGCTCTGCTGCTTGAGCGCCTCCTCGTCCTCTGCGGCCTTGGCCTTAGCTTCCGCCTTCTCCCTGTCCTTCTGCCGCTTTTTCGCCAGACCCTGAAGCACTTTCTGTTTCTTAACCTGTGACTTTAAGAGCTTATTCTTCTTGACCTTCTTGTTACCAACCTTAGGCACCACGGACATGCTGCACGCCTGCCCCGCGGAGTAGCCCTCAGACCTCAACTTCCTGACTGCCGTGAGGACACCTGTCCTCGACGCAGCCCTGGCCTCAGCCCTTTCCTTCCGTCCCTTCTGCCTCTTCTGCCTCCTGACCGGGTCGGGCTTCTGACTTGTGAGGTGCTGATCGATCCCTAAGTCTTTCCTCCTCTGCGCTGGTGTCCTGAGCAGCGCCTTTGCTTCCTCTATGCCCTCGATGCCCTCGACGTCGTTCACCTCCATGGACAACCATGCCTGCTGGCTGAGATCCTTCAACGCAGCCTCCGAGAGCTCTCCTGATGCCTGCATGTCCTGCCACGTCGCCAGAACACTGAGGTCTCCTGGGGCCCCGTGGACGCTGGCCTCGCCTTCCTGGACCTTGTCCTGCTCGCTGAGGGCAGGCGCGTCCTTAGGCATCCCCT